ATGCTAATCAGTTTCCGGTGAAATAGTTCTGAATTTGTTTGGATATGTTTTCCTACCGTTACCCAATTATAAGCCTTGCGTATAGGTTAAAGGAACGGGAACACAGAATAGGCTGTGTTCCGCGTAGTTTTCTACCAATACGCTCGATGCTGAAAAACCAAAACAGTAACCTAATTAACTAATTATTCTTTTAATTATTCTTTTAATTATTCTTTTAATTATTCTTTTAATTATTCTTTTAGTAATTGTTTAAAATGGTGAGCAGGACGTTAGAATTTACTCCCTTAAATTGTTAAAATTGGTGACCAGGATCTTAGTAATTACTCTCTTAGTAATCCGTTAAAATAATGACCAGTAATCTTATTTATTGCTTAAAATAGTGATACCAGTGTTAGTAATTTCTGCCTTAGTAATTGGTTAAAATGGCTATAAGCATGCCACTAATTACTCCCTTAATCATTGGATAAATTGTGACAAGGATGTCAGTAATTATTGCCGCAGTAATTGCTTAAATTCGTTAACAAGCCTGCAATAATTTCGCCCTTAGTAATTGGTTAAAATTGTGAACAGGATGTCAGTAATCACTCCCTTAGTAATTGGTTAAAATGGTGATAAGTAAGTCAGTAATTACTCCCTTAGTAATTGATGACAATAGTGACAAGGATGTCAGTACTTACTCCCTTAGGAACAGATTAAAATAGTGATAAGAGTGCCACTAATTACTCCCTTAGTAATGGTTAAAATTGTGACAAATGTGTCAGTAATTACTCCCTTAGTAATTGGTTAAAATGGAGACCCTGATATCAGTACTTATTACTTTAGTTGCTATATTGGTAACCAAAACAGCAGTAATTTCGTCCTTAGTTATTATTTAGAATGGTGACCAGGATGTCAATTACTCACTTATTAATTGATTAAAATATTGACCAGGATGTCGGTAATTACATCAATAGTAATTCGTTAAAATGTTGACGAGCATGCCAATAATTTATTCCCTTACTAATTGGTTAAAATACAGTGTAGGATATCAGTATTAAAATCCTTGGCTCGACCTTTCTTGTTGCTTCTCAGTGCTTCCTATTATGTGCCGTGAAATTTATTGGGCATAACTAAAATATTTTCCGGAAGAATTCTTTCATAGAATAATTTTATAAATTTCAATCGAGAGTAGCACTGACTGCTCCCTTTTATGAATAACGCATATTTCCTGATAAGAACACGGGTAATATTATCTTTACAATCTAATATCACCAACATATATGATGCTGGTAGAGTACAGCATACTTTAGACAGCCTAATGTGGAGTAACTTCCACTCTGCATCCTCTTTCTTCATTGTCGCAACATTCTTTAGTGTCACCAGTTCATGACTCACCTGGATATTGCTCAAGAGACAAATCACCAATTATTTCTGCCGTGTTTTACATGTAAGGAGTTATTTCCCCTCAGAGAGCTTTCTTGCCAAAATTGCTACTTTATAGAATACATTTCCGCGTGGATTCTTAGTACGAAATATTATCTTCTCCACATCAAGGATCATACGCTCTCTGTATTAGTTATCCTAATAATCATCCCTTCCTATTATTATTCTATTTTCATCTGTATTAGACATCTTAATGCTGGTAATGATTTTGTGGTTCTAATGCGATGTATTGGAAGATCTATAGTATAAAAATGTCACTCGACGTTATAGAGATAGTGTATTGTAACCAATGTATGAATTAGCGAAATACTGTAGAAAGAATCTCGCAATTATCATTTTTATGACTGATGAAATTAAGATTAGCATTTTCCATATTTTTCATATAAGATTATGTTTCTGTTTCTGTTTTCATGAGTATATATATATATATATATATATATATATATATATATATATATATATATATATGAGTTGCTCGGGGATTAGGAGTCGATATATGATTTACGCAGCAATCTCTCTTTTATACATGTTTCGTTAAAGACGACTGATAAGGTACTGCGATTGAGCTATTTATTTAATTATTCTTGTGTTTCTTTCTGGAAACAAAGTGTGTGAAGACTGTCCAAAAGTTCTGCATTTCCAAGCGCTTTCGTCTATTCTTTTAGCCATTATCAATGATACATTTATTTTACTCTTAAGTGAATATATGGGTATGCTCTGTATGTATCCTAGAGTTATAGGGATATTTTATTTTCTAAAGGCGGTCAGCAGATTGTAGACGTGTTCATAGTTTTATATATATATATATATATATATATATATATATATATTGGTATCAGTCAGAGATTTTACCCCTAAGCGATTGGCGTAAGGCAAGGATGAAGGTTAATTTAGACGTATTTATTTGTAGATAAACTCGCCAGTGACCGGAGAACTCGATTCGTCATAACGAAGAGTCTTGCATCAGCAGCAATATTGTGAGTGCCATTGAGTAGATGGGAAACTCGGAGCCGTCGACGTCTGTGTTAGCATGAAGTCACAAGTCATCGTAGCCGAGGTTTTCAGTGTGCTGTCGTTATTCAGGCTGTTGATCGCGTCAGATAACTTACTCTCTCCTGCAAAGTTGCAGTATAAAAATCAAGTTGACTCTGTGTGTGTTGAACAAACATAAATGTGAAAAAGCAGGCGTCTGAAAACGGGACTGGCCAACCGCCTTACTAGACAGGAATCTTCCCATTCGAGTGGCCAGAACATGTACACACACACACATATATATATATATATATTTATTAAAGACATTTTTTATGTTTAACGTTGTTATTTATAGATACAAGTATTTAAGCAAATGCTCTGTTTATGATAAACAGTATTAAATAACATTTACCGGCCTGAATGTCCGAGAAATTTTCATAGAAAATATTCGTTCTTTGACAGGATTCGAACCTGCATCCTATACGGAACCGTCATTTACGCTGATGTGCCTTACCTCTGGGCTACAAAGAACCTTTTCGGTAGACAAGGTCGAATTTACTGCTTATAAACTTGAATCTTCCATGAAACTCGTACATTCATAACTGCTCTGGCGTATCAAATGTAAACAAATGACGTCATATATTAAGAAATGGACAATGTCCGACAATTTATTTATTAAAGACATTTTTTATGTTTAACGTTGTTATTTATAGATACAAGTATTTAAGCAAATGCTCTGTTTATGATAAACAGTATTAAATAACATTTACCGGCCTGAATGTCCGAGAAATTTTCATAGAAAATATTCGTTCTTTGACAGGATTCGAACCTGCATCCTATACGGAACCGTCATTTACGCTGACGTGCCTTACCTCTGGGCCACAAAGTTCTTTCCTTGTCCATTTCTTAATATATGACGTCATTTGTTTACATTTGATACGCCAAAGCAGTTATGAATGTACTAGATTCATGGAAGATTCAAGTTTATAAGCAGTAAATTCGACCTTGTCTACCGAAAAAGGTTCTTTGTAGCCCAGAGGTAAGGCACGTCAGCGTAAATGACGGTTCCGTATAGGATGCAGGTTCGAATCCTGTCAAAGAACGAATATTTTCTATGAAAATTTCTCGGACATTCAGGCCGGTAAATGTTATTTAATACTGTTTATCATAAACAGAGCATTTGCTTAAATACTTGTATCTATAAATAACAACGTTAAACATAAAAATGTCTTTAATAAATAAATTGTCGGACTTTGTCCATTTCTTAATATATATAAATATTACTTAGGTGATTGAAGTTACCTTCAGTATCTCTACAGTTTCGTAGACGGACTCTTCAGGATTTACTCCGTCCACTCTTCAGGGGCTATCAGAAATTAATAGATCATACTTTCCGCCTTTTTTTTTATTTATGAACTTTTCATTGGTGCGAACATATATATATATATATATATATATATATATATATATATATATATATATATATATATATATATATATATATATATATATATATATATATGCGTGTGTTTGTTTTGTTTTGGTTTTCATCATATTTTCGTATTGTTTCTAGGTTTTATGTATTCCATTACATTTATTTTAAATTACTGCTTGTTAATTAAGCAACCTATTAAAAAACATGAGACTTTACTTAGGAATATCCGTCTTCCTATATATATGGCAATGGACTCTGGACTATCAGGAAATTGGAAGATGAGATGGATGAATATTATAGTAATGGTTATATTAGCGATTTTCTTTCTGTCACGTTCATTGACTATTTCGCTAATTTCATTGGGGATTCATATAATATTTTTTATCAAATCAGTATTTCAGCTCCTTTCGAATTCAGTAACTCTTATCAGTATTGATGGGGACTTTTTTCCTAATCTTTTGTTTGAAGTATACTTGAACGTCAAGCTCTTAATAATATGATTATTTTCTCTGTGTCACGTGTGGTATCAATTTTAAATGTTGCCGTTGTTAAAAATGAGTTATTTTCTTATTGTTCTTTGTAGATCTGTAACATCAATCTAAAAAGGTTCAAGGATCTTTATCGACATGTCATGCAATCTCCATTCCCTCGAAAGAATTTTTTTAAATATTAATTTAAGAACGCGGTTGTATACAGCTAAGAGTTTTGATATTTCTGAATGGATTTATCATTATGCATGTCATTCATATGAAAGTCTCAATTTGATGAGATATTTAAGTTTTTTATCCTTTTTTTTACCAGCTCGTGTGGTCTTTGTCGAAACAAAATATCCTCTGTTCAATTTCTTTCTTAACCTTTTGTTTGTCGTATAGAACGTCAGGAAATGGATTATAGCATTATTTTCTGGCCGTCATAAATTCGGTTATCTATTTTACTTGTTGTTGTAAGTTTTCACTTAATTATCATTTTCCTCGATGGTGGCAGTTGCAGAACGTCGAAACATTAGTCACTTTCAAGACTTTTCTTCCCCCTCCTACAGCTGCCCACTTTTGCACTATTGATAATTGCTGTGGCCTTTTTAGGGCAAGAAATAAATACATAAAGAGATGAAATAAGTTAAACTAATATTAACAGAAACAGTAATACAAACGAGAGTGTTACAGCAACAAGGTTACGCTCAAATCACGCTGAAAACACCGGTTCTCGTTCGATCACCGAAGTTAAGCATCGTAGAGCCAGGTCAGTACTTAGATGGGGGACCGCTTGGGAACACCTGGTACTGTAAGCACCCCAAAGTCCAACCCTTACCTCACAGTCGGTGGGGGGTGTAAACGGTAGTGTCAGAGCTATGCCGTCCGGAACTTCGTTCCTGGTAGGGCCACCCAAGGCGGACAAGTCTGACACACACGCCGGCTAACAAGGGCTCTGGTTAAAATCCAAGGAGCGTCTGCATCGGCAACCGGCGGCTTCTGGTCGTTCCTGTCTCTGCGTCTGTGGGAACCCCGCGGCAAGCAAGAACGTTATCCGAGTAGGCCTGGGTACCCTACTTCTGTAAATTATCCCAAGAATCTTCTTCTCATAACAGGAAGAAGCCGGCTCAATCCGCCCAGGGTGAATGCCGCATCAATACAATAAATAAATACAAATAAACGTTCGGTGCGGCTGTCAGAGCTGACTGCTGGAAACTTCACCCTCCACAAGGCAGTTCCTGCTCCTATTTATAGCTGGGAGACTCCATACGTGCGTAAGTAAATTATATAATAATGTAGCATCGACCCCTAATGTAGCAAACATGTCAGCAGGAATTTCCTTGGGGCCTAAACTCTTACCTCACATTTTCTTGATAACAGTATTGTTCAACATTTAGTCCATTTTTAAGAGAAATCACTACTAGTATCTGTCTATATTTCAGAGATGAGATATTATGTACACTATTTACATTGTTTGGACTGTCGTCTTCATCTTTGTTGGCATATTTATTACAACGTTTCAGCCTTTCAGTATCTGTCTATATTTCTGAGATGAAGTATTATGTACACTATTTACATTGTTCGGACTATCGTCCTCATCCTTGTTGCCATATTTATTGCAACGTTTCGGCCTTTCAGTATCTGTCTATATTTCTTAGATGAGGTATTGTGTACACTATTTACATTGTTCGGACTATCGTCCTCATCTTGTTGCCATATTTATTACAAGTTTTGGCCGTTGTACGCTTCGGCCTTCTTCAGTTGGTTGGAATGTCGAAGAGAACCCTTTATTTTGCTCGCTGGGGTAGACTGTTTTAGTTCCACGTGCCGTGTCTAATAGATGTCAGTTGTCACTTATCTCCTGTTAATTCCCTTCTCCAAATTCTCCACCTCAATATTCTCACTTTGAACTCACCCTCTTTGGGTTCCTTCACTGGATCTAACTAACGCTTTTATCCACTGTGCCACGTGTCCTTGAGGACATCTGTGTATGAATGTCTGGTACTTATGAACCTAATGTCTTCAGCAAACATTTTTACCAGTGCTCATATTGTAATTTTTGCTGTTATCATTGCATGCTTTTACCAGAGCTCATATTGCAATATTCGTTGATATTATTGCTTTTCTCTGGCGCACCTTATTACTGATTCCTATATTGTATTAATTTCTATGCTTGGTCGGCTCATGAGATTTTTGTGGCCTAGCATATGTGCTGATTCCTTAAGTTTACGAATTTTCCAATGATGATCTTTGTCTATGATTCAACTTGATCCAACAGAGGGCAGGTAAATTCCCTTTTCTCGCCATATGTGGTCAGCCACGCCTGATTTTTCGACTTCCCCTCGTGTTACAGCTTTTTGGTGTCCTTGAAGCTTTACCTTATGGGGATAACCTGTCTTCCTTTTATATTCCTTTCCGCAGCTGCACGGGATGGCATACACACCGTCTTTAGTCATGTCCTCCTCTATGTGGTGGGGGGCTTACTCGGGGGAGGTATCTGCGAAGTGACGTCTTTTGGTTAAGGCGGTGGAGAACTAGAAGAGGGGAATTAACAGGAGATAACTGATAACTGACATCCATTAGACATGGCACGTGGAACTAGAACAGTCTACCCCAGCGAGCGAAATAACGATTTCAGTTCGACTTTCTAACCACCTGAAGAAGGCCGTAGCGTACAATGGCCGAAAGTTTGGGATAAATATGGCGACAAAGATGAGGACAATAGTCCGAATAATGTAAATAAATTTACTACTAGTAACATTTAAAATCTTCTATGATTTCTACGATGTCTGTTTACCTGAAAAGAAAGAATGCATTATTTCTGTTTATTACAACTAGCAACTGTCGAGGAAGGATGGTCCTTGTTAATATCACTAGTTTTCAGTCATTCACTTGAACCCATTTTAAACTCTTGATCTGAGTAAGCGGTTGAATAACGCTGGCAGTTTAGATATTTCTAAACGACTTTAGAACCAAGCATACAATCCATATGAATGTCTCCATCTGACGATGCTATTTAAATGTATCGAAAAATGAGATACCACATCTAATTACATTAAAAAAGAAGAAATATAAAGACAATTGTTTGAGTAACATATTGAATAATTAATTCATATCAAGAAGTGGAAAAACGAAATAGATAGACAATAATCAGGAATGGCAAGAACAAAAACACTTTGTCTAATAACTTTTCCAAACTATTTATTTGTGTTAATTCAATTTTGATAAGAGTTCAAATATGATTTTCCTGTTTTTGCTATTCATTTATCAAAAGTTCTATAAAAAAAGCTTCTTGCATCTCTGACGTGTCGGTTTTCGTTAATTCTACAGTGCTCGACATTAATCAACATCCATCTGTTAATAGCAGCGCGCTGACATGTCGCTTATCAACGTCCCGTTTAAATTGATAATATATTTTTTTGGTCAAATCAATCGCTCTTTCTTGTTCTGTTATTGATTATTTGTTGAATGTTTGAAATCCAACTTTAATCTTGTTTCTAATGGAATGAAATTTACATTTCCTTTCAAAACGACTCAAGCCGATAGCAACCTTCGTGTGTTGCTTTAAGAAGTTTGTCATGGGTAAGACGTTAAACTACACCCGCGTCCTGGGAAAGACGATAAACTACATCAGGCAGCAAGGTTTATGATCAGGGGATTTTGGGAAGCATGGAACCACCTCTTAATTGCTAGTGTTCCCAGGTCCACCCTGGCCCGGGATGGTAGCACCTATTAGGGTCCAGAGCTATGGGGAAATAGTTAACTATTACCAGCAATACTTTTTTGAAAAAAGTTATTACCAGCAATACAATTGTTAAGGAAAATATTACCAGAAACAGATTTTTGACAAGACAAAATATTACCAGCAATAAAAAATGCTGTCGGCATTAAATAACCCATTGAGTTTGATATGCCGTAAAACAAAATAAAACAAACTAATCTAAACCAAAGAATACATATTCTATTCATACGAATCTATCCTAAAAATGCTGTCGGCATTAAATAACCCATTGAGGTTGATATGCCGTAAGCAAAATAAACCAAACCAATCTAAACCAACGAATACATATCCTATTCATACGAATCTATCCTAAAAAATGTTGTCGGCATTAAATAACCAATTGAGGTAGATATGCCGTGAAACAAAATAAACTAAACCAATCTAAACCAAAGAATACATATTCTATTCATACGAATCTATCCTAAAAATGTTGTCGGCATTAAATAACCCATTGAGGTTGATATGCCGTAAAACAAAATAAAACAAACTAATCTAAACCAAAGAATACATATTCTATTCATACGAATCTATCCTAAAAATGCTGTCGGCATTAAATAACCCATTGAGGTTGATATGCCGTAAAACAAAATAAACCAAACCAATCTAAACCAACGAATACATATCCTATTCATACGAATCTATCCTAAAAAGTGTTGTCGGCATTAAATAACCCATTGAGGTAGATATGCCGTGAAACAAAATAAACTAAACCAATCTAAACCAAAGAATACATATTCTATTCATACGAATCTATCCTAAAAATGTTGTCGGCATTAAATAACCCATTGAGGTTGATATGCCGTAAAACAAAATAAAACAAACTAATCTAAACCAAAGAATACATATTCTATTCATACGAATCTATCCTAAAAATGCTGTCGGCATTAAATAACCCATTGAGGTTGATATGCCGTAAAACAAAATAAACCAAACCAATCTAAACCAACGAATACATATCCTATTCATACGAATCTATCCTAAAAGTGTTGTCGGCATTAAATAACCCATTGAGGTAGATATGCCGTGAAACAAAATAAACTAAACCAATCTAAACCAAAGAATACATATTCTATTCATACGAATCTATCCTAAAAATGTTGTCGGCATTAAATAACCCATTGAGGTTGATATGCCGTAAAACAAAATAAAGCAAACTAAACCAAACCATTAAGACGTATTGCTAGATTTTGGATGAGAACCCGAACATTTAAGACAATTTGGACAAAATAGTTTATTTTCACGTGTCTTTTTTATTTTATTTTATTTTTTTTAACAATATCTAATTTAGGAAATCAAAACATCTTAATGATCTCTATTATTGCTTTCATTTTGTGCCTTGTCCAGGGATCCCCTAATTGTCCATTTGACTCGATGATCTTTCGGTTAGGCCAGGATTGACTGGGTCAGCTTCAGATTCGTCATTGCGAAAGCTCACCTTTCAGATTTTATCAAAAATAGATCTTCCAAAACTGCCTCTCTCGTTTCGTGATGATTCCTCCCATACATGGATAATATTATCCCAAAGAAAAAAAAACAACAGAAACGAAATATCCAGCTTTTTCTTTCAGGCCAGACTATGCTACAGCCATACCCTACCGTTAGAATTACTACCACCTCTACCACAGATAACGGTGTGGTGGGAACCTTACGCGATTCAAGATTCCAAAAGAGATAAAAATTACAAGAGAATTGTAGAAAAATGCAAAGAACAGCCATGCACAATGAGTTCAAGTCAAAACTGAAAATAATAGAATTGGTTCATGTGAGGTCTGGAAAATATCGAATAAAAGGCTCAATAAAGGCAAATCGCCTGAACCAGCTATGATAAATGTTCCTGAAATTATTAAGTCACTATATGACAAGGCAAAGGCATTTAAAATGATACCTTAAACGATAAAGACCACACCTTATCTAACATCATAACTGCCCTTGTTCCTAGGGTTAGGGGCCAAGTTATGGAGAAATAGTGAACCCCTAAACCAAAATCAACAGTAGATTTTTATCAGAAAGTAAGCACAATACATTTAATAGCAAA